GGAGGGTGCGCGGAGGAGGCCGCAGGGGAGGCCGCGGGATCCCCTCAGGCGGCTGGGGAGGGTGGTCTGTGTGGGTTTTGGGGTGCGGGAGGAACGGTGTTTGCCGCTGGGCTTCCCACCCCTTCTGTGGGAGTCGGGACTGGATCGAAGGCCCCGACCAGGCCTCGATTTTCAGAGAACCCCAGGGGTGGGAAGGGACCTGGAAAGATCCCCCAGCCCAACCCCCCTGGGTCACCCAGAGCACATCACACAGGAACGTGGCCAGGGGGGTTTGAATATCTCCAGAAAAGGAGACTCCCCAGCCTCTCTGGGCAGCTTTTCTCCCCCTTCCTCGCCTGGTGGGCTCAGGAGCGGGGCTTCCTCTGCGAGCCTGTTGTTTGGGGGGGGAAAAAAAGAGAAAGAAAAGCGACTTAACAACATTTTTTAATTAAAAAAATAAAAATAAATGAGGTGCCGGCTGTATCTTGACTGAATTCCCAGCTGGTGGGCTGTAAAGGGTTTTAAAGAAAGCCCTTTTCCTCAAGGTGCCTGGAGGGTGAGCACATTCGGGCCGTCGTCTCAGCATTAAATGCTGTCATAGTTGTTAAAGAAAAAGGTGAGGTAGTTAATGTGCTTGAGCATAGTTAATGTGTTTGAGCTTAGCACGTTTTAGTAGTATTCATCACTGCCAAAGCACTCGGGCTTGAGCTGCGCTCCAGAGAGTGGTAACAGCTGAGTTTAAATCCCTTTGCTGCTTTTATGAGGCATGTGGCAGGTTCTCGGGTTATAGGACAGCACTGGGACTGCGAATGAGCTGGCTAGCAGAGAATTGGAGACTAAAAAGGCAAAAAAAGTGGCTCCCTCCTGGTCGTTTATCTCTGCCCAAGGGGTGGCAACCATAGCAGGAGCATGAAACCTTCCTATTTTTTAAGTATATGGCACTTCTTTTGAGATGATCTTGGAATTTTAGTGCCAAGAGCATAGCATGTGTCTTTAAAATAAATGGGGGTTTCCATCTTGTTTTATTAAAAGCTGAGCAAGTGGGACAGTGGCACTAGAGGCTCTATTGGACCAGCCATCTTGGCTGCAGATGGGCTGTTATTTTTACAGCATCACTGCTGCTCCTTAAAATTGTCACTTTCTAACAAGATTTTCTTTCTAAGAGTTAACTGATTGGTGTATTATATATCTGGCTTTTCACCAGGGAGGACAAGGGGGAATGGTTTTAAACTGAAAGAGGGGAGATAGAAGTTGGACACCAGGAGGAAATTCTTGGAAGGCACTGGAATAAGTTCCCAGGGAAGCTGTGGCTGCCCCATCCCTGGGGGTGTTGAAGGGCAGGTTGGATGGGGCTTGGAGCAGCCTGGGCTGCTGGGAGGTGTCCCTGCCCATGGGGGGTGGGACTGGATGATCTTTAGCTCATGGAATGGGTTGGGTTGGAAGGGACCTTAAAGATCACCCAGATGATCCATTCAATGATCTTCAAGGTGGCTGCTCCATCCCTGGAAGTGCCCAAGGATTTTATGTGGGGTTTGGAGCAGCCTGGGCTGGTGGGAGGTGTCCCTGCCCATGCAGGGGGTGTATCTAGATGGTCTTGAAAGTCCCTTCCAACCTTCCCCATTTGATGATTAAATCTCAACCACTGCAGCAGCTTGGAAAACTTATTTCAAAGCCATTAGCAGAACACCCACAACCCGCCCTTTTCTTGCTTCTCTCCACCTGCAGAGCCTCGGGGGCAGATTTTTCTGAAACATTTAGGCAGGTGAAGCAGCAGAAACGGTGCTCTTGGTGAAATCTGCTTCTTGTGTCTTGCAGATTCTCTTGATCTGAAGATGGCTGCACAGTCAGCACCGAAGGTTGTGCTAAAGAGCACCACCAAGATGTCTCTGAACGAGCGGTGAGGAAGCCAACAGCAGCTTCAGCTCATAAGAAATACTTTTTTTTTTTTACTTAATTATCACTGCCCAGTGTCCAAAACCCACTAAAACAAGCAGATGGCTTTGCACCTCTGTCTTAAACTGCAACCAATGTGGTACGCCAGGTTCAAAGGGCAAATGTTTTGGAGCAATTTATCAGTAGCACTTAATATTAAACTATTCGACACCTAAATCTGGCGGGATGTGTTACACCAAAAGAGAGCAACCTCACACCCTCCCTTTTTTTCTTCTACATGTTTTTACATTGATATAGTTGAGGCTGCAGCACGGTAGCATGTTACCCAGGCTGCAGCAGCCTTGCTGCTTTGTCCAAGGCCTTTGGTCTGGCCTGTAAGAGGCATCCAGCAGGCCATAAAACAAGCCCAAAGGCCCTTTAACAATGTTTTGGGCCTTGTAAGAGGCAAATGCTTTGCTTCATCTCCATCTCTCTTTCTCTCTCTCTCCTTGATTTCTTTATTGCTTCTGTTGGGTGTTGTGCTGGGTTTTTTTCCATGCCATTGAGCTTTTGTGGTTCTACACTGATAACTAACGGTGGTGCTGCAGTTAAGTTTCACTTCCTTACTAATCACTCATGGATTAATGAGTTTAGTGCTATTGAGCCAGGGATGAAGGGAGCCATTTGTGTGCAGTTCCTGCTCTAGGAAGTGAGGTGTGGCCTGAGCTATTGCTCAGAGCTCACTCCAGGGATGATGATGAGTGAGGTGTGGTACAGGGAAGGCTCCCTGGTCTGTTTCTTTTTGTCAGTCTGTATTCCTCATCTCCAGGTGTTTCTTTCCCAGTCTTGTGTAGCTCCCAGGACACAGCAGAAAGCTGGTGGGTTGCTACTGAGGAGACTGACAGTCTTGCTGTGTGTTCTCCTGTATAGATCTTAGAAGATCATTTGTGCACCAAGTGAACTGTTTTTCTAAGCAAACACTCTTGGGTGGTGGCATTTCTAAGGTCCCCAAGCCTGTGGTGCATCAGACACCTTGCTCTGTCCTCCAGGCAGTGTCTGCTTCTGCCTTTGAGTTCTTCAACACTTTTCTCAGATTTTGAAGGGTTAACTTGGCTTTGGCAGGCAGGTTGCACTTTGTTTTCTCTGTTTCTGTGCTGTCCTCTCCCATCTGTCATGGTCATCTCTGCTTACTGCTTGTTTTCATTCCTTCTGCCATTTCTCACACCAATAACCTGAAGCTTTTATCACTTCTGAATTAACACACATCATTTCTGAGTTTCCAGTTCTTGCACACTTGTGGAAAACAAGGAATCCGTAATCCCATAAGCTGTGACCCAAGTACCACTCTTTACATAAGGTTCATGGGATCTGGAGATCCAGTCTTGAGAACCATGAAATGCCAATAAATGTATGTAATAAAGCTTTCTTTAAACACCCATTTTATTCGACCTTGAAGCTTTACTAACATGCTGAAGAACAAACAGCCGATGCCAGTGAATATTCGGGCCACCATGCAGCAGCAGCAGCAGTTGGCCAGTGCCAGAAACAGAAGACTGGCCCAGCAGATGGAGAACAGACCTTCTGTCCAGGCTGCCTTGAAGCTCAAACAGGTGAGAGAAACTTGGTGCCTGTCACAGCAGATTGGTTTTTCAGGACAGGGTGGATTTTGGAAAAGAAATGCTCCAAATCAGAGATCTAGGAGGGACTTGTGGAAAAATCCCCCCTTTTTCTTTCAGATAAGTAACACTTTGTAACTTGCTGGTTGGTGTTACTGAGCTGGGGGTGGTTTTGTGCTGGCTGTTCATATCTCCTCTCTATTTTTTCAGAGAAATGTTCTCATTCTGGGTTTCTGGATCTGCTGAGTGCTTCATCTCACAGGCTTGCTGCAGTCCCAGTGGCTGCAGATTGTTCCCAGTGCTTCTATCCAGCTGGGAGTGGTTGTTCCCATCCACAGCTCCACCCTCTTTTGCTGCACTCCCTCCAGAGCAGCTGGTTGCCAGGGAGAGAGCAACAAACAGATTTACAAACTGATTTTTTTTTTGATTGCTTATGAATGCCAGAATGCAGGTCTGGATTTCATAGAATTGTGGGATGGTTTGGGTTGGAGGGGACCTTAAAGATCATCCAGTTCCAACCCCCTGCATGGGCAGGGACACCTCCCACCAGCCCAGGTTGCTCAGAGCCCCATCCAGCCTGGCCTTGGACATTTTTTTAAGGTGTAGTGTTGAGTTGTCCTTAAAGTGTATTCTATCATTCTGCATTTCACCCTGAGTACTGCAGGTTATGGTGTGTTTCTCAAATTGGTAGAGCAGAAGATCTGGTAAGAGTGCTAGATTTGGATTCCTCATCTGCAACATGTTTTTCCATAGCTCTGTGTGACCTTGCACATGAGGAGAAAGGCCTGGAAGTTTCTTAGCTGAGCTGCTTCCCCAAATAGCTGGAATGCTTCAACCTGCCACCCATGCTCCCAGGCAGGGCTGGCTCTGATAAAGAGGAATGCAGCAGCTTTTGAAGATCTCTTGAGACTTGTGTTTTAAAAACAGACTGTGGAGCCAGTTTGCCTTGCAGAGGCTTTTAAACAAAAGTGCTATTCTAAATTATTTACTGCTTCAGAAAAGCTTGAAAAGTTAAGGATTTCACAAGTGGTAAATGAAGCCAGACTGGAAGCATGGAGGTTCTGCTTACTGGGTTGAGGTGCTACAGAGGAACAGAGAGGAACTGGTTTTTTTGGCTTAGCTCTTAATCCCCTTTGATTTTTATGCTGGACTTGGATCTGTTGTTGTAGTCCTCTTGGAATTCAGTGCATCAAGGGAGGGTCGTGGAAGGGCATTTTAGGGACGTCTGGAAACTTGTTTTATGTTGCTCTTTGAAGCCTGCAGGTTCCTCTGGAAGTGGCTGAGTTGATGTGATTTAACTGCACTTGGTGTCACCAGGAGCTTTTCTGATCCTTGTGGCTCTGCTGTGTCCAGGAGCACTGATCCCAGGGCCAGGTCACCCTTGCTTCAGAAGGAACTTCTCTGACCTAGATGTGTGGGTTTGTGTTCTGTGTCCTCTGCATCTGGAAGCACACGTGTTGCCATCAACCTGCTGTGCTATTTTCCTGTAAAAACACTGATACCAACTGGTTCCAGATGTGCAGTTGCTTATGGAGCAGCCCAAGGTGCTCCTGCTCCAAGCTAGAGGAGCAGGGTGAGCACTGGGAGCCTGGGTGAGTGCAAAGTCCAGCAGCTTTTCTTAAACTCCCCATGGTAAGTGACATAAATAATTGGGATGATGAACATTCCTGTGGTTTCTCATTCCTTTGGGCAAAAGAAAGAGGCTTTAAACTGCTGGAAAAAAAAGGAATCACTGTAAACTGAGGCAGTAAAACATAAAATCTTACTGCAGCTCCAGAAGAGGCTGATTTTAGATGAAACAATTAACTTGGGTCAAGTAGAAAGCAAGAACTTAAAGCAGTTCTTGGAACCTGTAGTGATATCCAGGCTGTTCCTGTTAATTTACCTTTTTAGGGCCAGGAGCTCTTGTTCCTGGGATGAGTGTGAGGGCTCAGTGGTGCCTGCAGGATCTGTAGCCTGCTCTGCAGAGACCAAATGGGTCGCAAGGTGTTTAATGAGCAGTTGAACTGCAGCTTCTGGAGCAGCTGAGCTGTTCCTGCAGCAGTTGTGGTGTCAATTTGAGAGCAGGAGCTGCTGCAGCTGGTGCTCTGTGGAATTGAGTCTGGCAGCTCGATGGAAATGACATGGAAAATTAAAACACACTTCAAAGGCCAGAACATAAAGATGACTGGTTTGCTGTTGCTCTGGTGAGATTTCTTCAGTATATTTTCTTTTCTGGTAGTGTAGGTGGAGAAGTCAAACCTGTTCCTTGCTGTTGCCTTGGCCTTGTGTGGCAGCCTAGCCAGGATGGGGCTGTAGGCCACAGGGAATGATGTCCATGTCTTGTGGCTGCCCAGGTGTCACTTGCTCTGTGGACACAGGTCACACTTGTGCCACAGGGGTGGTTCCTTCCTGTCTCAGGACTTAGGACCTTCCAGCAGAAGGGATTAGCTGGATGAAGAGCCTGCCTTGATTTGGAGCAGCACTGGAGAAATGTATTTTCCTTCCCAATCTGCCAACTTTCTTGTGTCTGTAACAAACACTTGATTCCAGGAAAGGTCTTTTTTCTCTTTAACCTTCACAATATGTCCCTCCCAGAGCAGATTTGATTTGTCTTCCCTTAAAGTCTGATTATATATCACAGAGAGCTGGTGAGCCTCTGCTTTGTTTGTTGGGTTTTTTATTTAAAATGCCAAAATATCATTGTTCTGTTAGTGCTGGGTGACAGCTGAGGGGTTTGTCTTGCCAGGCAGAGACTGCTGCATGGCTTCCTTCTCTCCCAAATCTCTTCCAGAAGAGCTTGAAACAACGTCTGGGGAAGAGCAACATCCAGGCACGACTGGGCCGCCCAGCAGGACCCCTTGCTCGTGGAGCCATGGGGGGCAGAGGCTTGGCCATGGGGCAGAGGGGCCTGCCACGAGGAGCCATGCGTGGTGCCCGGGGAGCAAGAGCTCTGCTGAGAGGAGGACTCCCCCTCAGAGGTCAGAACCTTGGCTTTGAATGGCAGTGATGGCATCTTTTCTGTCTGTTGCTGGGGCTGGAAGTTGAATTTCTTCTTGTTTTGTTTTCAATTCTTGAAGGTCAGAGCCTGCTTCGTGGAGGACGAGGAATCTCCCCCAGGATGGGCCTGAGGAGAGGTGGCATTCGAGGCCGTGGTGGCCCTGGAAGAGGTGGCCTGGGCAGAGGTGCCATGGGCCGTGGAGGACTTGGTGGCAGAGGTTAGTGGGAGGTTTGGAGCTGAAACAAACAAGCTTTAATTCTTGGTCTAGGCTGGTGTGTGTGAGCACAAGCAGCCCCAGACCCCTCTGTTGCTGAGTGGGTGTTGTGCTAGTTAAGGCTTCTGTCCTCCAGGAACCACAACTGGTGCTCAGAGAAGTTCTGGGATCTCTTGAGCCAAGTTGTCCCCTCCTGCATGTGTTGCTCGAATTGGGATGCTTGGAGTGGTAGTTGAGGCAGTAATCTTGAGGAAAACTGCCTCCTCTCACTTTGGGAGGTGATACAAAATCAGCAACAGGCTTAAAATAATCCATGAGGGGGGAAAATTGAACAGAGGAGAAAGCCTAAAAACCCCTCAAATAAACAAGTTCTACCTCTGAAACTGAAACAAATCTTGGGGAAGTGAACTCGGGTTTTCAGCAACAAATGGGAGAAGCAGTGAAGCAGGAGTGCAAGAGATGGAGGAGGCAGCTGTCGATGGGAGGGTTGTTAATGTTTGGTTAGAAGATCAGTTCTTGTGTTCCTTTGGGATCATCCCAGTGTTTGTAGGAGTTGGAGCAGCCAGTTACTGGGAAGCTGCCTATCCTGCCAGCTCTAGCTTGGAACTTTGGCTCTACCTTAGCCTGAAAACCTCTCAACTAGAAGGAGGAAACATTGGAAGGTGATAGGTGATGGCATTGCCACTTTGTGCAGGATCCCTGGGGAGAGAAAGTGGGATTGGAACAGGAGCAGGGAAGTTGGGAGCAGATCAAATACCTGCCTGAGCTTCTGGTGGGGAGCAGAAGTGGCTTGAGGAGCTGATCCAGAAATACCTGCTGGGGGGTGGGCTGAGGAACGTCCCCACGGAGCTGCTGAGGCAGCTCCAGTGTGTGCTGGGGGAAGTGCTGGCTGTGGAAAAGCCCAGGGTTGGATATGGTGGAATGTTTAACCATCCTCTTGTCTGGTTGGTGGTCACAAGGTCGTGGCATGGCCGGGCGGGGCCGAGGGGGCTTCGGAGGCCGGGGCAGAGGGAGAGGAAGAGGAAGAGGATCAGCACGTCCTGCCTTGACCAAGGAGCAGCTGGACAACCAGTTGGATGCTTACATGTCTAAAACGAAGGGACACCTGGATGCTGAGCTGGATGCTTACATGGCTCAGACAGACCCCGAAACCAACGACTGAAGGTGGTTCCCAGAGACTGGGGGTGAAGCTCCTTGAGATGCCCCATAAGCTAAGAATGGAAACCCTGATTGATGCTGGAAGGACCCAACAGGGAGCAGCCCTGTTCTACCCAGAGATCAGCCTTTAGTGTGTGTTCCTTTACTGTTTTGATACTCTCTGTTGTATGAAACCTTTTTTTTGGTTTTGTTTTTGGATTGTTTTTTATATATTTCACTCCCCCCACCCCAAAAAAAGTGTTCCAAACAGAAGGTGCTGGATCTGCTGCTGGGATGTGCACAGTGCTGGGGGTCGTGTCTTTCTGTGCCTCCTGACCTCAGTGGTGGCATTTTGGGGTGATCCCTGTCCCTAAATGCCACCCGTGGGGGGCAATTTGACCCCCACCCTTTGCTTTGAACCCCTCTGAAGGAAACCCCCTCCCCCTCGGGCTGGGTTTAGGTGCAGAACTGATACGGACACACCTATCATCCCATTTCTGACACACCAACCTTCCCATTTTGCACCAGAACTCCTGTCAGTACCCAGTGCAGAGGGCACATCCCAGGCTTGGAAACTACTTTGGTTTGATTATTTTTTTATCAGCGTTTGGGTTTTTTTAGATGAAAAGTTGACCTTTGTTTGGTGTGTTTGGCTGCAGCGGTTCCTGTGGCTGCCAGAACAACCCCAGTGTTTTATTTCAGGGAAGGGGGAGGCAGGAAGATGGAAGTTGATGGCAAAGTGTGGGTACAACTCCTGTTTGTTGGTTTGTTTGTTTTTTTCAAACACGGGGTCCAAAAATTCACCCGTTTTCCTTTTTGGTGTCACCAAAACAGTGTCCTTTGTTCCCACCAACTGCCTGCACAGGTTTGGGAAGGGATCTGTTCCCATCCCCCCCATCCCATCCCCCTGCCCCTCAAGTTTTAAGTTCAACAATATCTGTGAACTGTTCCAGTTTTCCATGGAATCTTGTCTTTCTGGTTTGTTGTAACGAGGAGAAATGATGATAAAAGCGATCTGGACTCTGGGTGCTTGGGGGTGTTTTTTCCCTGGAATTGGGGGGTAATTTCTCTGTTCTGAGGTACATTTTCTTAGGGGAGGGGTGTGAGACCTCGCTGGGTATCCTCAGCTGCCTTGGAATGGGAGAATTCCCGTCGGGAAGGGGAGAATTCCCGTGGGGATGGGGATCCTGGGGGAGCGGGCCCGGGGGGGGGGGAGGAACGGGGGTGGAGCCGCATGGGAGCGCAGCCGCTATTGGACGGTGAGGGGAAGGGTGGTTGTTACGGCGCTTCCCATTGGCTGGGAGGCGGGGGGG